GAGAGAGAGAGAGAGAGAGAGAGAGAGACACACACAGAGAGAGAGAGAGACACAGAGAGAGAGAGAAACAGAGAGAGGGGGGGGAGGGACAGAGAGAGAAGGGGAGAAAGTGTGAACTAGAGAGGGGGAAAGAGAGAGGAGAGAGAGAGAGATAGAGAGAGAGAAAGAGACAGAGAGAGAGAGAGTGGGAGGGAGAAAGCGACATACAGACGTACAGATAGGTAACTTCTCTGCCAAGGAGGACAAATTTTAATCTACGAAGTATACTCACACACTTGCACGCACATTCTCTCTCTCTCTCTCTCTCTCTCTCTCTCTCTCTCTCTCTCTCTCTGTCTCTCCACTATACTTCTGTATTTAACAAAATAGATTTACATTAGGTCTCTAAAGTATAGTAAGTCATGATACAATACTTAATACTTTAATTTTCCACGATTTCGCCGCAATTAACTTACGATACCTTTTCATTTGGGCACAACTTTTAAAAAATTAGTTGAGCTTATGGTACGCAGTTTTGACACAAGGTGCGCATCAGAAAACAGTGTAATATATCTTCACATTTCAGAATACTTCTTGTACGAAGACCTCTTCGAAACTTTCAGTACTTCTCAACAAATCCATTTTGACAGACTGCTATGCAAAGCGTACGGATCAGACTAACAAGTAAATCTCTTAGGAAAGAGGTGGCACAGAGTTCTCCACGTCGTATGGATACGACAGTAAAGCACGACGTATCGATAGGGTAAACATGTATTTTAGTTCAAAAATATCGTATTTCTAGTCACGATAGTTCTGAAACCCAGGCCCGGTATTAATTAAGCTGTGTAGCCCGTGCTCACCTCGTTGCCCTGCTGTCCCTTCAGCTGTTGGCGCAGCTGCTGTAGGATCTCCTCGGGTCTCTCCAGGGCCAGCTGCTCCAGGCCAGGGATGCCTGTACGGTTGGGCTTGCGGCCAGTGATGAAGTACGTCTTGATATCTGGGGACCGGGCGGTGGGCGGAGGGTGGAGGTGGGGGGTTGGTTAAGTGGTGGTGAAGGTGATGATGATGGTGGTGGTGGTGGTGGTGGTGAAGTTGATGGTGGTGATGATGGTGGGGGTGATGGTAGTGGTGACGTTGACGGTGGGGGTGAAACTGGTGGAGATGAATATTTTGATAACGACTCCAAATAATGTTACGATTTTCATAGAGCAGAGAGAATATTAAATGTGTTTCTGACCTCATGGCCTTGGCAACTCAAAACGGCGAAAGATGTCAGATAAAACCTTGTAATTCTGAGGTAGCGAAATGCCACAAGGTGAACGCCCACAATGTGTCACATGAGCCGCTGTTCCTGGAACAGGCTAGCTGGGAGCACCGCAGAGGAGATATCGTGATGTCGCCTTGCCGACAACACTGAGAGGCCAATAATCATGAAATTTTCGATGTGTCGATACCAACAGCGCTTTATTTCTTTAGTTTACACGATTAGGGTTAGGCAAAGATCATTCATAACAAGATAGTCCACTCAACCAAGACAAGAGTATGCGGAAGTCATTGCTTCAGATGGCACTGCAGTCTTTGATTTGAAGCTCTCTTTCGTTTCTCTAGAGGAAGAATAGGAATAGCACAGCTTGTTAGTTTCGCTTTAATTGTTGCTCACACAAGTAGGGTAACTCTGTTCGCAAAGTCCACACTTTTTCGAAGAGGGCGCCAGAGGATTTTGATTTTGAGGACACTCTTCTAATTGGCTCAAAGACAGGAGTGAACTATCTTGTTTTCTTTGGGTTAGGTGTAAGGTGAGGGATAGTGTTAGGGAGAGGGTTAGGATAAGGTTTGGGAGAGAGTAAGGATTTTAATGGTATCATCATCATCATCATAATCGTCTCCATTCATCTAGCTGTATCTAATTCTGTTGGCTACGCCGCGGTAGACGAAGAAATCAGATAAAACAAGTCAAACTTTTAAAGAAAACAAAACTATTACGGGTTGTTGGCAATCTCTTCAAACAGAGTCCCAAATGCCATTTTCAGCTTTCTAAAAAGCACAGGACTAAGATCAAACAATAACTCATCCGCAAACGAGCCAGATCAACGGCACAAAACTGCTCGATTTACTTGTCCCGCCGCATCCTAACACAGGGAGAAATTCTCCTTCTGTCTAGTCAAACATCTACAAACATCTACGGTCCTCATCTCGCCTCCTCCTCCCCCCTCTACGTGTTTGTCACTCTTCTGTAACATCTTCTTTCCTGTCAAACATCTATCTATCGTCCTCATCTCTCCTCCTTTTATGTGTTTGTCACTCCTCTGTAAAACATCTTTTCCTGTCAAACATCTATCTATCGTCCTCATCTCTGCTCCTCCTTTTATGCGTTTGTCACTCTTCTGTAACATCTTCTTTCATGTCAAACATCTATCTATCGTCCTCATCTCTCCTTCTCCTCTTTATTGTGTTTGTTACTCTCCTGTAACACTCCAATCTTCGGCATTTACGTGACCTAATTGTGTTGAAAATGGCGATGAAGCTCCTGTGAAAACATAAAATCGAGAAAAATGTCACGAGGTGAATGGCCTTTCCGCGTCACGTGACTCGCTGTCGACGAGACAGATTAGCCACATAGAAGGGACTGGGCTCACTCAGGCTATACATAGGCTTCAAAGATATTAGAATGAAAGGCGACACAAGCAACTCTCTGTTCTGCCGTTGTTTTTAAAAGTACAGTGTGGAGCTGTTGGGTTTTTTTCTTTTTTGTTTTGGGTTGTGGTTCGGTTTTTGGGGGTTTTTTGTGGGGGTTTTTTGGTGGTTGGTTTATTTATTTATTTATTTTTTTTCAATTTTACAGGAGAGCCAGGAAACTGAATATTGTCACCAAGAACACACACTCTCTGCAAACATCCTAAGTCCAAATGTTTAAGAATACAAATTTAAAAATAAATTTCGAATAATGTTTTCTTGATAACAGCATTCAATTTTTTGGCTCTACTGTGAAATGGTAAAAACTGCATCTACTGCATTGTGAAAAATGACGGCAGCGATGAGAAAAAAAATAAATACAAACGTATTTCTCAAACGTTTTTTTTAGAAATATGGGACGTTTTAAAGCTATATAGACTACTTGCACTCTTTTTTAGCTTTAGTAAGTGTTTTACGAAACTTGAAACACAATAAGGTCATATTATAAGTGCCGAAGATTAGAGGTGTTACAAGAGAGTAACAAACACTGAAAGGAAGGAGAGATAAGGACGACTGAGTATATTTTATAGGAAAGAAGAAGCAAACCACACCAGAGCACCTGCTAACCACCCACTACTTGCACTCTATGGTTCCCGAGAAGCCGAGAATATTCCGGCGGGTTGTTTTTTTTTATGTAGATTTTTTTACGCCCCCATCGACACCATTAGGATAATTTGGGAGGCTGGATTCTCATCCTGCCTATCAGGCCCAACTCGGGCTGAGAGGGATACAACATCCAAGCAGAAAGAACGAAATGCTTATTAAAAGTTCTCCCCACACGGTAATCGAACTCGGGTCTCCTGCGTGCGACGGCAAAGCGCCTTACCACTACACCAAAGACGCCGATTCAAGAATTGTACGTTCGTGGTTGGCGGGTGCTTTGGTGTGGTTTGCTACTTCTTTTCAATCAAACATCTATCTAACCAGCAACACCCCTAGCCTTCGTCACTTTTTTGTTTTAGTAGAGGTTTTACGGCGCTCGCAACTGCATATATAAGGTCATATGAGCGCCAGAAGATTAGAGGTGTTACAAGAGAGTAACAAACATAAAAAAAAGAAGGGGAGATAAGGACGATAGATGTTTCATAGGAAAGAAGAATTAAGTAAACCACACCAGAGCACCAGCCAACCACCCACCGTCACTTTAAAAAAAAACCTATTTAATAGTCGTAAGTGCAATAAACGGTTACTAAAACTAACCTATCAAAAGTAGAACAGTAACCAATTATTTTACAGCAACTGGTGCCAGCCACACACCAACGACCTGGAATCAGGAAATCACTAAAATTATCGAGCAGCT